AAATAAAAAATAAATTTATTTAATTAGATGATGTTTATTTTGTGTTGTAAAAGTTAATTTATAATATAATACTTACTCCCTGGTTATTATAAAGAAATAAATTTATTTAATAAGTTGATGTCATAATAAATTTTATTGTGAAATATTTATTTACCTTCATAGAATTCAGCTAATTATTTTATTATAAAGCAATATTAAATTACAATGTAAAAATACTACATATTTTTAAAATAGTTATTTTCTGTGTAAGAAAAAAAATACCTTCATTCATTTTTTTACTGGAATATAAATGAATTTTTTGTCTACTGTCCTTATAATTGTGTAATTATCCACACAAATTTTGTGATAAAATAGAACATTAATATTAACAATTATTAATAAAAGTGTGAAAAAAAATTCCAATTTTGGAATAGAACATTTTTTGTCCCAGTGTAACCAGTACAAATTTAGAAACTATCTCCAAAAATTAAAAAGTTGATTGATGTGTAATGTTACACCCCCCGCATTCCCCGCACCGAATTTTCAACACTGTTTTGTCCGATATAAATTTTTCAAAAATCTTGACAATTGTTTATTTTTGTCAAATGCACTAACCTACAATTTTTCAAAAAAGGAAAATCTTTTACAGTCCGTTTTATAGGGTGTCCAGGATTATGCTTTCGCACACTTCTTAATTTAAAAATCATTGCCAAATTTGGTCATGCAGTCAAAAAAAAATTGTTTTATGTAGATCACATGATATTTCAAACTTTAACTAAAACACAAAGTCCCATTGTATAATAAGAAACTATGAAAACATAAAATAAAAAAGGAAATTGTAACCATGAAAGTTTAAACTCCAACTAAATGGTACTCTCGAAAAAATTATCCGTTATTTTTGTTTTCTAAATATGTCGTTAGGCAGACTTCAAAATGCACTTTTTTCTAGTGAAGTCATAGAAAAAGTTGAAGTTAATCTAAGACATTTAATTGATAAAATTTTAGCAAGGTATTATATTATTAATTATTATTAAAAAGTATTATATTATTATTATTATTATTAAAACCTTTTTAACTTGATGAATATTATTCTCCAATTACTTGATATTTTTAATCAATAGATACTCCACTGAATTTGTTATTTACAGAGAATTATTACAAAATTCAGGTAAATTTTCTTATTTTCACGTGTGAAATAATAATAATAAAAGTAATAAAATGATATCAAATCTATTATATAAAACTTTAGATGATGCTAAAGCTACAGAAGTTGAAATAAAATTTGAGACTGAAAAGTCTGGAAATGATAATAATATCAATATCTCAGATAAATGCGTGAGAATAGTTTTTAAAAATAATGGTTTTTTATTTAGACTTGAAGATTGGGATAGATTGAAAAATATTGCTGTAGGAAATCCTGATGAACAAAAGGTATATAGAATTTTATTATTCACATATTACGTGTATATATATTATATAAAATAGATTGAATTTTAGATCGGTGCCTTTGGTGTTGGATTTTATTCCCTATTTTCAGTTTGTGATAATCCTCTGTAAATTATTATTATTAACTACTATAATTATTATTATAATTAAATAATCTAATTAAAACCACAATTATATTTAAAATAGTGTATCATCAGGTACACAAACTATGAAATTTTTTTGGGACGGAGATCAATTACTTATTAAACGAAGGGTTAACAAACAATACGATAAGATTTGGACAACATTTTCGATGGATACTCTTGAAAAAGAAAATAAAGTAAATCTATAATTTATTTTTGTGATAATGATATGTGTATATAGATGATTAATTGATTGATTTTATTTTATGTTAGTTGCCAGAAATAGAAGCTTTTGGTCGTTTTTTAGCAACTTCATTGGTAATAATGGTTTTTTTATATTTAAAATCCAATCAAAACACAAATAGATATATATAAACTAGTAATGTTCATTATTATTATAATTATCATCAACTTTACTCAGTGCTTCACAGGGAATCTTAACAAAATTACAGTCTACTTTAATGAAATTCAAGTAATCCATTTAACAAAAACAGTGCATGGATTACCATCAATGCCAATTAAACCTGAAATAAGAACAAACTCACCAGATAATCTGTTTAAATTGACATCAGTTGATATCTTCGAAGTTCAACTGGATGTTAAAAGATTGATCACTTCACCAGGAACTCCGATAAATCCATATTCACTGGAGGAAGACAGTATTTTCTTAAAAATTGCTAGTGGTAATGTTGATTTAAATATTCCAGATTCATTTTGTATGGAAATGGAGCGCACCACCAAGAAACGACCTCCAAAATATACAAAGATACAAATCACTTTCACTGATTTTGATGAGCAAAGTTCTTCTTCAGATCAAAATAGTTCTACTTCTGAAATATTCAGAGATTTATTGCCATTTCCTGCACAAGGTAGAATATTTATAGGATTTCCTACTTTTCAAACAACTGGTTGCTCTGTGCACCTTGCAGCTAGATTGATTCCTACAGTAAGTAACCGTATTTTTTGTTGTATATAATAGTTTTCATTAAAAATAATAATATATATTTATTTGTCTCTTCATTATTATGATTTTTAAGGTTGAACGTGAATCAGTTGATTTGGTAGATAAAACTTTAGCAAAATATAACGAGGGACTGTTACGTTTAGCTGGCATATTGTCTCGCATGATATATGAGGATGAATTGACAAAAATTTCAAATTTGTACAAGGAATCATTTGGTTCAAGCCCCGCAACATTTGATGATGGACCAATGAAATCTAAATTTGAAGATCTTCAAAAATATGCGGCACATGCTTTGACACATTTTACATTTAGAGAAAGTACACCTAGAAAAGAGATCTCAACATTAAGTGAATCACAGTTTTTTGATTGTACATCAACTCCATTGCCAATATTATCCACTTGTGGTGTTTTACCAATTACATCCATCAGAATACCAACCCCTGAGACAAAACCTTTTATCAAGATTGTCCCAATTGTTCCAACGTTATTGTTAGATCAATGCAATGAATTTTTCAAAAAAGCAAAAAAAGTAAAAGATCTTTCAAGATCTATATATGAAGTCTCAATAAAAGATATTTTTTTTGAATTAGAAAGTCGGGCATTGAGCGAGAATGAGATGACAAGTTTGTTGAAATGGTGGATAAATTATCGTTATAAAGATAAAGCCACATTGGAGAAATTCATGAAACTTGCTACTATACAAGTTGAAAACACCAAGGTACCTCTTAGTAAAATTTCTCATTATCTAGACCCAAATGTTATTCCACCTGATGTAGAAGTTCCTCCAAGTGTTTTGCCTTATTCAATAAGTAACAACTTTAAAGAGAGAGATATTTTAGCTCATTTTAGGTCAGTGTTATACATATACATTTATTTATTTTTAAATACAACTAATCTTAAAATAATTTTCAAATATTGACCTAATATTTATATTGTTAGTGATTGGTCTAAATTAAGCTTGGTTACATGGACTCGATTTATCTCTGCAAAACCTTTATTTGAACAAGATCCTACGTTTTCAGAAAAAATTCTTGGAATCATTGCACGTCTATTTGGACGTATTTCTGAACGGGATCAAAAGTATATTAGACAATGTTTGGCTAAAAAAAATTGTATCCCAACAAAAATGGGTATGAAAATGCCAGATCAATCTTATTTTCCCAGTGTGGATATATTTCCAGGTTTGGCTATTATTTGTTGTCAAGACAGCATTGATGATGATTTTTTCTTTTATTTGGGAGTTAGAAAAGTAAAGCTTGTGGTTTTGTTTATTTATTTGTTTACTGCACATAATATTCGTGATATTGATTGATTAATGGATAAAATTTTTTTTTCAGCGTGTCGAAATACGTTTTTTATGTGATCAACTTGTTAGACAAGGAGGTTGGAATCATATGGAATTAATCAAATATCTTGTTCGGAATGAATATGAGGAAGAAGAGATAAAAAAATTATCATCCAAGTCTATTTGGCCGATGGAATCTAACAATAATAGAAAATTTACAGCAAGGGAATTATATGCACCATCGTCACAATTACGTGATTTTGAATTACCAATAATTGTGTGGGATGATAATTGGAATAGGAATTCGAGGGAAGGTATTTGAAATACATTTATTTATATTATTTATTTATTATTAAAAACTAATATAATGTTATCTTTAGCTAAAATTATGTTAAAGCTCGGCTTATGTGAATATCCTCCACTTGGTAAAATACTTCAGCTGGCGTCACCTGTCACAGAGTTTTCAATTCGCCAAAAGGCTCTAAATTACCTTCTTGAAAATCTTAAAACAAAATATTTTAAACAATATGATGCAAAAAAAATAAATGTTGCGTTTCTCCCATGTACTGATCCAAACGTTTACGCAAAACCATCGGAATGTTACACAAACGCGGAGTGTAGGTTTATGAAATTTAATGTATTACAGAGAGACTTGGTACGTAGAGCTGAAGATCTTGGTGTGAAGAAAGATCCAGATCGGCAGCAGGTACTAGAAAAACTAAAGAACGAACCACCAGATGAAGAAAAAGCAAAATCAATTTTTGGTTATTTATCTTCATTTCACTTTATATATTCAGATTGGAGCGATTTAAACCGAACATCTTTTATTCCAATTCGTGATAAAAAGTCTGCTCAATTGAAATATGTTAAACCGTCAAACTGTTTTTTTAAATGTTCTGATGAAGATTTTGCTGACTATTTTGATTATATTGATTTTGGTGAAAAAGCAAATAAATTTTTGCGGGATTGTGGTGTCAAAGATGAACCATCTCCAATTGATTTGGCTGAACTTTTAATTGAATCTTCACATGAAGTTTTGAAAAGCCAGGGTATTGACAAGTATACTGCTGTACTACACAAAATCGATCACAAATTTTCTTCGATCCAAAAGTATAATAATATATTAAATAATTTGAAAAAACGTAAGGTTTTGTTAGCAATAAAGAAAAATGATAGTGGCATGGAAAAGGAAAATGATGATGATGGAAAATGTATACTAGCATCTTCTAAAGATATTTATATAAATGATAATGATATATGTTATAAAATTTTTGAACCTTTAAGCTGCCCCCTAGATCAATCATTAGAACGTTTGTACAAGGTAATATTTTATATAATATACATGTATTTTAATATTAATAATGAAATATTTATTTTCCTAAAAAAAGAAATTGGGATGTCGATTATTATCCAGCAGTGTTACATCTAAATCTGACATTAAAGGAAAGATACTACGACCTACTGAAAAATCTGCGGAATTACAAAATTTGATTAGGGAACGTGCACCATTGTTTTATCATGAAATTAGCAACGATATCAATAAAGATGAACAATGGGTAAGAGAATTGGAAGTGTTAGAGGTTGATCAGATCGAAACAACTCATACTTTGGCTCCAAAGAATATAACAAAAGTTGATAATTCTATCGCCTCTTGTATTTCAAAATGTGAACGTAAATTATTTATTAGAGTAGGGGAATCGGTTGATTATTATGCTGTTGCAAAATCAATTTCTCAGTTGATTTATAAAAGACCTCAATTTAATATGATTACCGTTGTAGAAATATTGTTAACAAAGTCATTCGATGATCTTAGAAGTAGGGGACTTCCGGTAGATCGATTATTAAATCTAAAGAAAAACAATTCGTATGTTGTTGAAAATGAAGAAATTTCAGAATTAAATCCATTTGAAGAAGAAAATTTTTCTGATACAGATTATTATGAAGTTGCTACGGAAACAAAGCATTTTTCTGGAAAAACACAAATAATTGCTCCTAATTATATGCCTATCAGTATAAACATAGGGAATTCTCAAGAATATTCAAAAGGCTCTTTTCAATTTATGAAGATGAATTTTTTCCAAGAACAACAACAAATTTATATAATTATGATGATGATTTTGATGATATGATATTATCAAGAAAGGAACCGAAAAATGATTTTTCAACTTATAATAATAATAATGAAATTTTTTCAAAAGTGTCAACAACTTCATATGAAGAAGCATTTCCGCCGTTACCAGCTTCATATAATAATAATTATGGTAAACATCAGAGACAAAGCTTTTCCTCAAAATCACAATATGAAAAGAGTTCATGGTACAATACATCTTCTACAACAGTTTCGCAAATGAGCATGGAAGATTTGAAAAAAGTTTTACGTGATGGCATATCCCGTACGAATTCTGTTGATGGACAAGTTAAAATAAATTTTCCAGAAAATCAAATAAGTTACTGTGATTTTATACCAGGTATAAAAGTTATTTTTTTTTAAAAAAGTAAAGTTCATTCATTAATTATTTAATATTTCAAAATTGTTAAAGATGTTAAAAAATTTTTTTATCAGCTCATTCATTAGAATTTATTGGAGCAGAAAATGGGGTAGAATTATATATTTCAAAAGGTCTGGATCCATCAACATTTTCATCATCAAGGATTCCTTTGAATAACTTTATTCAAATGCTTAAACATTTATCTAAAGTTTTTGAACTACCTCCCGAAAAGGTTCATGTGTTTTATGATTCTGGCAATTCTATTGCTTTTAATCGAAACAATTCATTATTTTTCAATTTTAAGTATTATTTGCTTCGTCATGATTCTGAAGCTTCTGAAACTTTTGTCTATTGGTTTATGAGATTTTGTCATGAATTAGCTCACAATATTAGGATCCCACATGATGCTCAACATGAGGTAAGAATATTAGTTTATATTCTTTATATTCAATCATTATATATGAACATCTTTGTCTTTATGTTTTTTAATTATTTTTTATTTTCTACATAAAGTATTTTTCTTCATCATATTCCGTATTTTATTTTAAAAATTTTTTGGAGAAATTAAGAGAACTGGGAAAAATTTAATCAAATTTACGTTGTATATGGAGATTGGTGCCAACAAAACACAACGTAAAATTCTTTTTCAACCTAGTTCTCATTTTTTAATTATATAAATGTGGTTTGATATTTTCATCTTTATATGCTTTTTTTTATTTTTTATGAAGAATCTTTTTAGCTTAGAAACCGTACCCACTTAATTAGTAAAATTTTGAGATCTTTTAAAGTTGCAATAAATAGTAAGTCCTATTAAACTCACAAATGAAAAACACGAACTCAAACAAAGTGTACACTTTATTTGATTTTATGAATAATGTGATATGATTCATTCAAACTAGCCAACTTCTCAAAATTACTACACAAATATTTTTGTAATAAGGATTTTTCGTAAATCAAATAATGAATGATTCAATTAACAATGATATTTAATTGATCCTTATTAAATATATATAGTAATCTTTTGCATACCCGCTAATGAATTAAAGAAAATCTTGTCGTTATAAATTACAAGTAAATTTGAATTATGATCTTTGGAAATTATCAAATCTAGTAAATAACAAAGAACAAAGGTCTTGTAATGCATTAATATTAGATTTACAAAAGATGACGAGATCAAGAAATCTAGTAGAATTTATACAACAAATCAGCGAGGCAGCGATAATTCTACAGCCTATTAATGTGTACCAAATTTATCCATTTCTAGCAAGGATGAGAATAATAAAAGGATTTATGTTTAAACAGTTTTCAAACTATAGTGCAAGATCAAAATTATTGTTCATGTGTAAATAATGAATGTAATGATTATCCACTGCTGGTAAATATAAAATATGCAATTGAACTATGTCATGATTATATTATGTTTGTATATAGTGAAAATATGATAGTTGATATAATTAAATCACAATTTTCAATGAATAAAATTAGATGCATTAAAGAAAGCATATATTCTAATTAATCAGAAAGAAAGGTTTTGATAATACTAAATAAAATAAATTTGGAAATTTCATAACAAATCAAGGATAATATTTCGAATTTTCTTTTTGTTTTAGAAATCTTGATGTAATTAAAATAAATAAATAATCAATACTTTTTTAGAAATTATCATTATGATGGAGGATAGTTTTTAATTTTGAATATATCTATCTTTAATGTCTTTCCATTGTCTCTGAAAGTCAAGAAAATTATTAAAATTTAAAATTTAAAAAATTATTGTCACCAATAATAATAATAATATTGATAATAAACTCACTCCTTTATTCATTCTATCAAAAAATCTGTCAGAAAATGTATCGAATGCCATCTCAACAGCAAAAGCTGATGCAAATATTCCAATTAAAAATACCGAGTTACGTTTATATACTGTTCTATATACTTTTCCAGTAAAACTTGTATAATATAATCATGAACAACATGTTGAATATTTAGTATTAGAATGTTATCATATACATATAATTAATTATACTTGTTGAATAAATTTACCTAGACATCGTCGCTTTATTGATATTTTTTTTTTTTGAAAAAATTTTTTAATGGTGGTTATTTGTTGTTACTCAAAAAATCTCGATTACGATTATTTAATTGGTGCAAATAATCTATAATTAAAAAAAAATTTTTTTTTCAAGTGTTAGGACATTCATCATAATCAAAAATGAAGGTAATGCTCATTACTTGGGGGTATTAATTATCTAGATTTTTTAATGACTATTAACTGTAATTTTATTTTAGTTGAATATTGCTAATCCAGCCACCGGCTGTCAAAAAGTAATTGACTTTGAAGATGAACGAAAAGTGTGAGGTTTTAAATTAACTGATTAATCAATTAATTAAATTAATTAAGCAGTTCTATTTAATTAATTTAAAAAAAAACATACTATTATTATCATCATTAATATTATTATTGTTAGTCGAATCTTTTACGATAAACGTATAAGTGCAGAAGTGCCAGCTGATAGCCTTGGGGAAGAGTACACCGGATATGTGTTTAGGATTACTGGTGGTAATGATAAACAAGGATTTCCAATGAAGCAGGGAGTTCTACGTAACGATCGTGTTAGATTATTATTGTCAAAAGGACATTCATGTTATAGACCTCGTAGAACTGGTGAACGTAAAAGAAAATCTGTTCGCGGATGTATTGTTGGAAGTGATCTTTCTGTTTTATCATTGGTCATTGCAAAACAAGGCGATAAAGATATTCCTGGATTAACAGATACTACTGTTCCAAAAAGATTGGGTCCTAAAAGAGCTTCAAAAATTCGTAAATTCTTTGTATGTTTTTTATTTTTTATAAAATATTCATTTATTTCAAATTAATTAATTAAAGTTGATTTATTTATTTTATCTCTTAGAATTTATCAAAAGATGATGATGTTAGAAAATTTGTTATTCGCCGTGAAGTCACACCAAAGAATACCAACAGGAAACCTTTCACCAAAGCACCCAAAATCCAACGCCTTGTAACTCCAATCACTATACAACGTAAAAGACATCGTTTAGCATTGAAACGTAGAAGAGCTCAGGCTGCAAAAGCTGCTGCTTCTGAATACGCCACTTTACTTGCTAAACGTGTGAAGGAGCAAAAAGAACGTAAAGCTAGTCTTAGAAAGAAGAAAAAAGTTACCAAAAAAGCTTAAACAGAAAAAAATCATATGGAGCCAATCAATTAATTAATAAAAAAAATTTTTTATTTATTATTATTATATTATATTTTGTTGTTATTATTGGTTGTCATGAATAATTGATTCAATATTTTAATAAATAAACAAAAGTTTGACTTATTATCCAACTAAAATTAATTTTGGCATAAAGATTAAGAATAACCCAAATTTTTGATATAAATTACAAATCAATTTTGTAATTGTTGTTCTGTCTGATATTATACATATCACACATTTCTTAAGTTGCAAGTTTCCTTGCGGTTATTCTAGGATTACCGAAAAATTTGAAAAATTGATGCCTCTGGGTCAGTCTTTTACAATTGCTATTATTTTATACCAGCTATATGTTGTATAGCTCCACTAATACACACTGTCAAATAAAAATTTGGCGCGACAACTTTTCTGTTTGTCCAACCTATAAGTTATAAAAAGATTATATTAATGCATCATTTTAACAACTCGCCTGTTACAATATCCTGAACCGACTGCAGCTCTGGAACTGCCGATTATTGTTATTGTTGTAATCGTAATTAGATTTATATAATCTAACACAAAAAAGTATTTCCCATCCTAGTAACATCAAGAGCATCTACAAGTCCGTAAACAAGTTTATAAAAATTTTTAATGCTACGCTACCTGATACAACTTTGATTGCAGGAGCAAGTCATTTTTTTGAGTTCCTTCACTGACCCATTTTGTAAGAGTTGGTTTTTCTGCCTCATTTATAACTGATGGTAGCTACACTAGCACCACCAGCTGTAGCATGCCGGAAAGCAGTTCTAACCGTTAGATTTTTATAGGATCTTTGGGTTCCATAGTTGTAGTGATATTTCAAGCATAAAAAAAAAACATTTAATTCTGAATACCAATAATATGAGAGAAAATTGATTTTTTGTGTATTTACTAACAATAGCGCACATAAGTTTCTACAACTCCATGTTCATATGCTTTATTTTTTTTTAACTACGAGAATTTTGGAAACCTCAACTTGTGATGTAATGATAATTGGATCTTCACCTGCAACGAGAGCCGTCACACTCTCGCCCAAGTTCACTAGCAAGCTGTCAAACCATTTAGTGAAGATGATTAATATTTAATTATTTTATATTCTATAAGAAGTAAGATTGAAATATATATCGAGCAGTTGCATATCCTCTAGCTAAAAAGACTTCAGTTAAATTAATTAATTTTTCCCAAACACTAATTATTATGATGATATTAATCCTTGTAAAAAAAGTTTAAAAAATAGTAAATTATTATTTGAGTAACGTTGGATAAACTCTAAAAAATTTATCGCGTAGTAGTTTCTTGTATACTTTACTAAATAATAGATTTAGGGGATTTCCCGTTAAATAAAACAATCTTTTTTTAAAACAAATGACTGAAAAAAATATTCCTACAAGTGGGAAAAAGAAACTGGCCATTGATCGTGAAAAGGTAAAGTTGATTTATGATCCGATCTTTTTGTAATTTCAAATTTATTTTTTAATAATTCTTTCTTTTTGCTCTTTTTATTTCTTAGACTGCACCATTTTTATTAAGAATATTTTGCAAACCAAGTTATCATCATAGGTAAACCCTAATTTATTATTGCTTTTAAGAAAGTTGGAAAAATATTCTTGTAGTAAATACTAAATTTTCTTTGATAGAATTGATGATTACACACCCGAACATCTTCCTATAGATGATGAGGTACAAATATATACATGGTATATTATATATATATATATCAATAACAAGAGAAGAATATTATTTATTATTGTGTAATTTTATAATCATTTATATAATGATATAATTACCAACTTTATAATTATTGAGAATAGGAAGGATGCGACTTTGAAAGAGATAGCTAATCTTATAAAAGAAGTAAATAAAGATGCAAAACGACCAAAAGCACGTCTATCATTTAAATTGGTATATATTGACAATTTACGTGGTAGATATATATTTAAAGAGCTTGGAGTTGTATCCAATTCAGCTTCAAGTATCGACGATGATAAAAATCTTGACGATGCAAGGTTTGTTATCGGTGATTTTTTGGATGTGGCAATATTTTATGGTGCACCACCACCTGGTAGAATCATAGAAAGACGTGGTGAAAATTTAAGGGATAGGAATATTAGAGATTTTGAAAATAGGGATCGTGTAGGCGGCGGCGGGTTAGGAGTCGGAGCGGGTGCGGGTGGTGTTGCTGGCGGTGGTGGCGGTAGAAACCTCCATACAGGAGTTGGTAAAAATAATAATAATATCAGAGATTATCGTGATAGAGAAAGAAATCAGGATATTGAAAGAGATCGTGATCATGGTAGAAATGCATTAAGAGATGATAGGAGAGATGATAGGAGAGGAGATGATAGGAGAGATGATAGGAGAGATGATAGGAGAGATGGAGTAAGAAATTTTAGAGATAGGAGAAGATAAAAGCACAAATAAAAATAAAATCATGAAAATAACTTGTTTCATAATCAAAGGTAGACTTGTTATTTGCTACCAGCTTATTATATTATTAAATTTTTTTTGTTGAAATGAAATGTCGAGACATATTTGGAAATATAAATTATTAATGAATTTATAAATTTCAATTAATGTACATTTAAAATGTCCTAATTCTGTCCACTTTTTAAAAATATGAAGGCTTCCTGGTAAATCTAATCATATAATTATGATTTTTCAACATATAGGCAGGCTTTATTTGATCTTGGAAAATAAAAAATACCATCAAAATAATGAAACTGATTTGATAATTTTTGGCAATAATTACCTAAATGGAAAGCACTGAATTTATTTTCATATATAAAATGTCCTTTACATTTTTAGTTTCATAACAAAAATCTTTATAAGAATTGTTCATTCTATTGAATGACTTTTAAATTGTGGACCTTGAAAATGATCTCGAAATTTCATGATATAGACAGCCTACGTTATGTTTATACATTAATGCCTTTTATTTTCAATAATAATAAATAATACAAGTTCGAAATATATTATAGTCTCCAAATTTAGTAACGCTATTTTCCCATAATCTCCATTCGCTTTACCAAATGATTCACAAATTTCTCATCTAAAACTTTTCTGGGAATAGAAATATTTTATCTATTTCCCCTCTTAAACTTCTTGCCAACCTTCTTCTTGATCTCGATGTTTCATCTACCTTACTAATAATTGAAAGATCAGATTCAGGCGGAAAGGGTATTGGAGCTTATTTTTAGTTCCAATATGTGTAGATGATGGCAAAAAAATTGGTGTAGTGATCACTCTGACTGCAGCTGTTCAATTTTCTAAACCCCAATTGTAATTTAATAATCAAACGTAAAAATTTAAATAATACATATATTACTGTTAATAGTAGGTGCTCACAATACTTGGTGGACCAATTTAAGAAAATTTTAATATCTTGCCATTTTGCTCATAGTCATCAGAACCAAAACTTTTAGCAAAAATGGTTTTAATATCGTGAAAGATGCGAACGACTTGAACAACCAGGTAAGTTGTCATACGGTTTAGCCGTAAAACATGACATAATTCCATATTTTATAATGTCAATTTGCTTTGTTTCCAATTTAAAAAAGGGTGGCCCTGCCATATTCATAGCTGTTGAATATGAAATCACTGCTTCATAAGCACCAAGCCCTATTTATACAATAGTTATTATAATTGACTAATTCCAATTATAATTTAATCTTTATTGTTAGCCTGTTCCTGTGTGTAATCATTATAAAGGTACGCCAATAGCTTTAAGTTCGTCAAGTATATCATAAAAGAAATTTTGATTTGAAGTCAGGTTATTCAAAAAAAAAAAACAAAACAAAACAAAAAAATGAATATGATCGTTGTTTAAAAATCAAACCATTCAAGTTTTAAGTTAAATCAACGTTCGCTTACAATAATAACCAAGCATTCCTTAAGTTAATGGAGTTGGTAAGACATAATTTATTTTGCTAATAAATTAGAATCCTCTATAAATGATACATAATTACAGTATATATACATATAATTATAACTAAAATTCCAGTCAACCTAAAAAAAATATATATAAATATTTAGATCAAATTTACCTTTGCTAAAATATCCCCATAGCCTTCCTTTTAAGCGTAAATAAATAAATGAGAGAGAGAGAGAAAAATATTTTTAAGAACATATTATTTTATTTCCATCAGTCAACAAATGAAAATAGTCTTCTATTTTTTTTTGTGCTATCCAAAATTGTGGAGCTTTATTCTACCATTGATAATACCAATGTTGTCTGATTTCAAAAATAAATTATCACCAAATTGCCATGATACATATCATATTAATGTAGACAATATAATCCACTTGTTAATTTCTTTGGCAAGTTTTGAGTTTTTGAACCTATGTTAATTCGTTGGCCTTAAATGATCTTGTAAATTAATTATATTGAGCATGTAATCTAAAATCATAGTATAACTTTCAAGATCAGGATCCTGTGCTAAACCACCATAGCTCAAAATATTTTTATGAGCTAAAACTTTACTGTATAATCATTGAATTTGACATTTCAAGTTCATATAATCACGCGGAAAAGAGAAATTAGTCGTTATATATTTTTTTTCTTTGAACTGATGACATTTCTCCAACCAGCTTTGCGAAACGAGTTGTTTGTGATCAAATTGGAAAACGTTGCAAATTATGTAACAAATTTGGTGTTGTGACACATTCACGACTTATATTTCTTGTAGTTTCAAAAATTTTATTTTCAAAAATGATTTTTTGATAAAAATGGGTCTTTTACTTTCAAAATTATGGAAAAAACTTACTAATACTGAGGAAGTAAAAATAGTAATTGTTGGACTGGATAATGCTGGAAAAACTACCGTTTTATATAAATTGTAAGCCCATCATTATTCGACAATGTTATATATTAATATTATTTGTAAAATAAATCAATCAATTAATAAATTATTAATTCCAATTAGATTATTAAATGAAGTAGTGGTTACAACACCAACTATAGGTAGTAATATAGAAGTAAGGAAAAACTAAATGTAAATTCATTATTTTATATATATTCTTTATGTGAATCTAACATTATAAATAATTTTAATTATAAAGGAAATAATTTATAAAAATATACGTTTTTTAGTATGGGTAAATATTAAAAAGACAATCAATAATTTTTTTATATATAAAATGGATTTCTTTATTTCTTCTCACAATATTATTAAAAATTTAAAATTAAAAGGATCTAGGTGGACAAGATTCGTTAAGAGCCACATGGAAGACATATTATGTAAAAACAAAAGCTGTGATAATGGTGATTGATAGCACAGATAAGAATCGACTACACATTAGTAGAAAAGAACTACACACAATGATGGAAGATGAAAATCTAGTGAATTCAGTGTTGTTGGTTTATGCTAATAAGCAAGATATGCAAGGTTCATTATCAGCTGCTCAAATTTCTGAAGCTTTAAATCTCACAAGCTTAAGAGATAAACAATGGCACATACAGGTAAATATTACGGTGATTTGATATAATGATGGTGATTTAAATAAATAATATTAATAATTTTCTTAAAAATATTTTAATGATATATATATATATATTTATGTATTATTTTTTTTTTAAAGGCATGTTGTGCATTAACAGGAGAAGGGTAAATCTTAAATCTTAACAATTAATGAAATTTTATATTCTATTATAACTTTATTCAGATCATATAATTTATTTTATTTTTATTGATTTTTTATAGATTGTTTGAAGGTTTGGATTGGGTTGTAAGTCAAATAAATGCAGAGTAATTTACCAAAAAACGTTTTTATTTAAATTCATTAATTAAAGGACAAAAAAATTTTCATTTTAATAATAACAATTATTTAATAATAATGACAATAAATATTACCAGACATAATTTAGTTTTAAATTAAAAAAAAATCTTGGTCATCACTACTTATTGTTATAAGCTGAAACTTTACGACACTTTTGTAACTGTATAAGTCATTGTTTGAATTTGATATTTCAAGTTCATATCCCAACCAATGATCACGCGGAGTCTCTGACTTTTCGTTTTCTTTCTTTTAATCTGATTTCTTTTTGCAGAGATTTTTTTTTTTGATATACAGTATATTAATATTTCTTTGATTTCTGATTGTGATTAATTATTAGATTTTGGAATAATTGTTGTAAACGATGTAATGTTGATGTTTCGATATGGTTTGAAATCTCTATTACTATTAATATTGTTCAAATCACCCGACTGTGAATCAGGAACATTTTCACCTTCAACCTCCTCAACCTTCTTGTCGTCACCATCATTGCTATTATCATATTTTTTCATTTAAATGCAAAGATGATAGCAATAGCTAATGTATAAAATCTAGATTGGAATGAAATGCTACATTCATTATTAGCATAAGGGGAGTACCATTGTGCAGAGGTGAAGTCGCACGTATGATTTGAGGGTGTAATGCGACTGTTTACCGCCCTTCTCAAGAACCTATACATCTACACAAACTATCAACACCAGTCAATATATACTGACTGAACAACAAATAATTGGTCATTATGTCCACTTGTTAAGTTACCTTTCATCATCATTATTATTCCCATCTAGCACATCTAACGACCATTATATCAGATCCATTATTATTTATTTCATCGCTACCATCACTATCATTTATTTCTTTTTCCTCCTTGTCATCATCATTAATCTTACTGAAACCGTCTAATTGATTTACAAATATATCTATATTAATATTAATCACTTCCTCTTCTAATTCTATTTGTTGTTTCGTTGTGAATCAATTACCAGATGCTTGAACATTCATGATTCACGTCCGATTAAGGTTTTGGTTATAACATTATATTTTGAAAATATGATCCACCTTTATTTATTTAAACAAATCAATCAAAGTTGGTTCGCCATTATCTTTGACCAGTATGTTGAAGTCACATGAATCAATCCATATTGAGTAAATATCATAGTATAATTTTCCTGGTCTTTTATCTGACATCTTGAAATTAATTAATAATAGTTTTAATTTTCTTAACTATTTTTTTGATTGATATTAACTTGCATATTTTATGGCAGTCAATATTGATACATGTATTCATGAAGCAGACTTATGATTTTTGACAATTGCTCAAAATGAATACATTCAAGTATTATAATGCTAATAAATAATACATCGATTAATTATCATTTCCCAAAATGCATTGTTTATCAGCAACCATAAAATATAAATTTATTATTAATTTATTATTTAACAATGAAATCTACACTATATAATTAAGTTATGAATATACCAACCAGATTCTTTTCGATACTCAATTTTGAAATAAATCTTGAAAAAGTTTTCAATGTCAAATAATTGTGTCAATATCTATCAACCAAATGTACTATTTGGCATTTTAACTAAATTTGCCCATCAATATTTTATGACGATCGATTAAAATTTCTTGATAAAAAATGGATTCAACAATCTTTGAAAAGTATTTTAACGAAAATGAAAGATTATTGAATACAGAAGAATATTCTGATGTAAAAATTTATATTGGTATAGAACCAAACATTAAAGAAGTTCATGCACATTCATCAATTATATGTGCTCATTGTCCATTCTTTAGAGATGCACTAAACTACTGCACAAAAAGAAAATGGATATTATATTATTCAAAAAACAAATATTAGCGAACAAATTTTCAAGCCTCTTCTTAAGTAAGTTATCAAATCATTAAAAATAATATAATGATGATGATGATAATAATAATATTTATTTACTAATTTATTTTGAAAGATTCTTATATGCGTGTAAAATTGAATTGGACAATTATACTGGAGTAGATATGTTAGAATTATTGATCGGAGCAGATGAACTAGGACTTGAGTTGCTTTATGAGCATACAATGAAATATTTTATTAAAAAACATGAGGATTACATAAAAGAAAATCCAGTCAAAGTACTAAAATCCATTTACTATAACGAAAAATTCAAGGAGTCGAAAGATATCTACTTGAAAACATTTTGTAGTTATAGCGAAAAGTTATTTCAATCAAGCGAATTTGAATCATTGGAAAAACCAATTTTATTGGGAATTCTTAAAAGAAGCGATTTTTGTGTTGACGAAATAATTATTTGGGAAAATATTCTTAAATGGGGATTAGCAAGACATCCAACAATCACTGGTAACAATAATAGTAATGTTGAAAATTGGTCATCGCAAAATTTTATTGATTTAGGCAACACTTTAAAAGATTTTATTGCTTTGATTCGATTTCAGGATATTTCCAAGGAAGATTTTTGTAAAAAAATCATACCATATCAAATGCTTTTTCCTAAAGATTTATGGAATAACCTTTTAAACTATAATATAATTCCTAATTATAAATCGACTTTGGAATTTTTACCATCAAGAAATCGGAAACTTGAATTAATAAATTCACAACCTCCTGAATCAAACCTTGAATCAGCATGCACAAAACCCGAATTGCAAATTGAACAAGTAAGTATACAATCTGAATTAATGGATCCACCAATTGAACCAGAAACTCCACAACCTGAATTAATAGATTCATCAGTAAATACACAACCTGAATCGATTGACTTGATAAATTCAAAACGTGAATCAGAAAGGGTACAACTTGAATTAAGAAATTCAAAACTTGGATCATTGACAATCAATCAAAACCTTACTTTGCTTTTTGCAAGTTGGATCGATAGAAAGAGTACACCGTATAATTCATTCAGTGAAGTGAAATACAGATTTCATCTTCTATATCGTGGTAGCAGAGATACTGTAGATGTAAATACATTTCATCAAAAATGTGATAATATTTTCAAAACTTTAGTAGTTGCTAAGGTAGAGAATTCAGATCAAATAGTCGGTGGTTATAATCCATTGAATTGGAATGGATCTGGATATAAAAAAACATCTGAAAGTTTTATATTTAATATAACCAATAGAAATGATACCAATACTGCACAAATAAGTTATGTTATCAATAATCAATATAAATCTGCAATTTATTGTAATCCTTCTTATTTACCTCAATTTGGTAATCTTAGTTTTTATACTAATAGGTATAGTGTTTCTTCTTCATTAATTTATAATAACATCAACATTACATCTGATAGTCTATTTGATGAACTAGAGGTTTTTCAAATAATTAATAAGTGAATGAATAATGACAAATTAAATAACAGTATTATAAAATTTATTTTTTTATTGATAAATAATAAGAGCTAATTGATTAATTATAATTGTTGGCAAAAAAAAGTTAACAAATAACCAATATGTATATATATGGGACATATACGTATTAGCTGAGTTACATTTACTATAGCTATTTTTATCTGCAGCTACTAATATATAGTCATCCGAGACCTAGGGTTTTTGCCGCTAATGATAGGCATGCCTTGAAAGCATAATGGATATTTGATTCCACTGGTTAAAATTTAACAATTACTGAATAAATAATCACGTTTATAATCCAGAAAAATGCAATGCAAAATGGTAAAAAAAGAAATTTTATTGATTAATTAACAAGCATTCTTATTGAAATATAAAACATTTCAATAGATCTATTAGAAAGTGCATGTTTAAAATATTTTTATAATTGAAAAACTACGTTCAACATCTACACCAGATATTGGCAACCAAATGTAGGTATTTTTTTTTCTCTCCAATATGAAAATTCATATCATAGATTTCATCGAGATCACAATAAATATTCCATTCTAATGTTTTATAAGCACATGTCATGACGTGGATTAGACAATTTAAATCAAAATAGTCTTGTTTGATCTAATCTTGATGCTATACAAAGAGCTAACGGTTTATTCCTGATTCATAAAAAAGACAATAATGAATAATTAACATTTTTATATGAATTACTTTAAATTTGCCTTTTGGCATTAGAAGCCAAAAAATCAGGTTGCAATTTTTAAATAAATTATTTTGATTGCTGAATAATGTTAACAAGGTCATTAATTGCCTTACTACCATCTATTGCTGATTCTTCGAGAAAAAACTTGCAAAATGACCAATATGAGGACACAACCAGAAGACAAATCTAGACCAAGAGCGCCGCCTTTTTTTACTAAAAGTACTTTTATTTTGTGCTGAGGATGTTGATATTGAAAAAGAAATTGAAGTCAATAATGATGTTGTTGTCGGTGATGAAGATGTTTCAAATTCTAATTCAGATGGAAATAAATAAATGGCAAGTGGTATATCTGCCAAAGCAAATACTTTATATTTTCCTTTGATATGTTGGTAAGGTTACTTGACGAAAATTATTATTATTATTACTTTTGATAAGTTGGTCAATATATTGTCCTTATTAAACTAAATATAACATATAGAAGTTGCCACGAAACCAACTTTTCACCGTTACCTACCAAACCATGTCCAAAAAATGTTAAGATTTAACACCTGGCACTAGAAAAATATATTAATTCATAGATGATTGATTATAGAATAGAAACGGCTGAAATGGTTAATAACGACGAGATAATTGTTTCAGAGAGAACGAAAATATGGGTATTCTAATATCAAATAACAATTCTTCCGGATAAAGCTCCGCGAACCGGCTTGAAGGCCAAATAACTTAATAAGCTCATCTGAATAAGTTATCTGGCTTGCAAACCGGCTTGCGAGAAGCTTCAGCCCTGGATAGCGTTCAAAATTATTCAACTATTTGCAACAGGATTCCGATATAAAAGTAAATAGTTCAGTTGTATCAAAATGTAACATCAAATTAGAAAAAGCAAAACGCTTCTCACACAAGCCCATGACCGATTTATCGAGTTTGCAAAAATTGAATTTCAGCTTTGGGTTCCGATTAATCAAATAACAGTTCATTCATCGAGAATCTGAAACATTACCAAAATATTGTCCGACGCAATAATAATTTTATCTAACGTTTATGATCCCCGACATTGACAAATTTATCAACAGCACCACCACATGGGCTTACCTTTACCCAAATTTTCTCAACAATTCAAATTTCAATGACCTCTTTATCAGAAGCCTACTGGTCCTATTAATAATCACAGGGCTCCAGGTTAAAAACATATAATCATTAACTGGGTAAGTAAGTATAAATGTATGGATTTTTTAATAGTCATTTTGTTATTGGAAATAAATAATAAATCAATATAAAATATATACGGATTAATTGTACATTAATTTATTTATAAATATAAAGAAAAGGAAAATATAATAAAATTTATAATGTCGCTGACGATGATGATGATGATCCTGTTGCTTTTTGTAAAACTGTTCGCTTCACCTTTAATTCATGTTCCAATTTATCAGCATGTTTCTTTAAATCTAATAGATTTTGTATTGCCTTTTGCAATTCTGTCCATTTACCACAAACTGTTTCAGTTGGCATATTTGGTCTAATGCCAAGACCAAATTCTTGTAGAGCCTTTTGTACTTTTACTGTGAGATTTTGTTTTGGTACTGGTATTTTCTGACTTCTAACTACTACACCTGGTGCAAATTTTTCTCTTCTTGATATTATAGGTACAAGAACTTCAACTGGTGAGTGTGCTTTTTTAAAAGTACATTGTTATTATTATTATTATTATTATTATTATTATTATTATTATTATTGTACTATTAATTTTTTCTCATATAATTATTTAATTAATCAATTAATATAAATAATACCTTCTAATACTATAGAGCCTGCTGAAGACGCTGAAGTACGACGGCTCTTTTTTGTTGCTAATTCATTTGAAGCATAAAACATCGAAGAATTACTAATTTCCACTATAGGAGTTGGTGGTCCACTAAGAAGTGACTTCTTTCTTTTTGGCTATTGTTAAAATTATTTATATTTAGTATGTATTTATGTATATATGTGTGTGTGTGCTTCTCATTCATATATATTATAGTTACCGGTTGTGGAGGTAGTGGTAGTGGTGGTGGGCTAATTTCTTGAAAGTTAAATAGTTTCATTAATATTTCACGCTCCTTTACAAATTTCTTTTCATTTTGCTCAATACGTTCATACTCTTCTAATAACTCTTCTTCTTCCTATTTTTTTTTTTAAAAAAAAACGATAATGTAAATATTTATATATGTAAAAAGCGAAAATTATTTTTAAATAAAAAATTAACTTACCTTTATTTGTTCATTAGTACGACGATACAAAAGACATAAATTCTTCTTTCTTAGTTCTTCCTTTGCTTTATCGTAACTATTTAATGCAATCATTGTACCTTTGTCTGAAGGATTACCAGGTATCATTGGTCGTATTTGTAAAATCTTTTTACATGCTGAATAATATCTATCTTTCAAATCCTGTACAGACATATATAAATATTACATATTACATAATATTTAATACTATTATAATAGATGAGATATTGTTGTAAACTTACTTCTATTGTTCTTGTTTTATTTGGAAAATCATATCTGTCATGTATAACAATGAATCTAAGATCATATTTTTTACACATATCAAATAAATAATCTGTTTCTTCCTTTGACCAATCTTTATCTTAAAAAAACAGTTGGAATGATATATTTTTAGATCAGAAGCAACTTTATAAATAAAATAATATATATCTATATTTTCTCTCCATTAAAAAAATCCCTCCTCTTCGTCATCCTCATTCTCATCATCGTAAAAAAATACCTATTAAATATTTATTATATTCTTCATCTGAATACTTTTCAACATTTATTGGATTATTATTACTATCAATAATTAAATTATCTAAAATAAAAAAATTACAATTTTATTATTAATATATATATATATATATTTCCTAAAGAGTGTGTATAATATAGTTACTTTTTTTTTCTGTACTTGTTGTAACTTTTGTCCAATGTTTTAATTTCAAATCGTCATTTCTTTTAGGGTTTGTAAACTCTTTCCATTCCCTTGCAAAAAACAATTCAATAAGTATAACTGATAAATAAACATAATGCTTTAAAAAAATAATATGTTATACCAATGGGCAGCTTGTTGCTTAATATGCGGTTTTGCTTTTAAAGCTGGCTTTACGAAAGCTATAGGTGGTGGTCCACCGATCAATTGTAATAATTCTCGAGGTACACCATCTATTTAACACAATAAAATGATATTATTATCATTTTAGATCTAAAAAAACACAATTATATATAGATATATTGTCTATTTTTTACCGGGCTTCTTTTCTTTCTCGGGTTTTGGTCTTTTGGAAGAACTAACTCCTTCATTACCAGCCGATTTTGGCAATTCCAAAATGTCTCTAACATCACTACCAGTCATTTTTATAGATTTCTTTTCAAAAACGTAAAAATTTTAGTTGTCATCCAAACAATATTGAAAATTCGATCATCATTAATTTTTCCCCAATATTGCAATATTGATGGCAATTTTTTAGATATTATTTTTATTTTTATATTTGGTGGTTTTTAACAGATTCTTGGGTATATATTAATAATGATGATGATAAAACCTAGAAAATTATTATAATTGTAATCAACAATTACAACGGTAATGGCGAAATTGAAAATTTATGAAAAGATGAAGATAGTGATCATGAAATTGATAGTGGGTGAGTATGGTAATAAAATAGTGATCAAAGTAACAATGTATTTTTTTACACAGTTCCTAAGGTAAAAAGTCATGAATGTGATGTACTTGGATGCGTCAAAAGATTTGTTACCAAATCTGAACTCAAGAAGCATAAATCTAGGATTTATTAAAATTGGGTTGAATAATATGGATATGTTAATCCTGGTTTAAATTTGCAAGATTTCATGTATATTATTTCTTTTTTTTTTTCTAGATTAAAATTTTTCAATATAATAACCACACAATAACTTATCAGTAAGATACAATCATTAGAAATGTTGTCACAAGGTGGAATGGCACTTATTTTGTTCTTGAGTGATTAGAACAGTTGCATGAATTATTAATTAGGAATTTAAAAAATGAAGCTAATAGAGACAATAGAAAGGATGGTAAAGACTTGAAATATCTTTTCTTGACAACTGATGAATGGTTGGGTATTAAGAGCTTTGAAACCATTTACTGCTGCTACTAAAATAATAGATAGTAGTTCCTAACCCAACATCGAATATTATTTATCTTATAATCAACAATTTAATAAAAAATTTAAATGAAGGGTGAAGGCACAGAAGTAAACACAATTTTAGATCTGATCTTGGGTGTGACTACATTAACTGCAACATTTCTAGATCCAAGGTTCAAAGATCTAAATTTTTTTACACATAATTTAATTAGAAAAAAATGACCATAGTTCTAATAAAGGAGATTTCTGGTTCTGCTCAAAAGTCTGCTTTATCATTCTTCTTTGATGATAATCTGGTCCAGGACAAATTAAATTTTATTTAATGCACAATATTAGATGTTACAACAAAATAAAATCTGAAATAAATTTTTATTTAACATCACAAAAACTTTCTCAAAAGAGGATCAATCCACTCTTTAAAAAAAATAAATAGTTTTACCAAATTTGGCTATGCGAGCAAGAATTTACATAGCTGTACCAGCAACCTTGGTACATCAGAAAGATTGTTTTCATCAGCTGGGGCATTAGTATTCATAATGTACTGTTTTTGAATAATTTCTGTTTTTTTTTTTTTTGTATTAGTAAATACAATATCCAAGTTCTTGGCCAGTTGTTTTAGCCTGCTGAGATTTTTTTATTAGTTGACATCATTAATCAGAAACAAGAAAACTTGACAAATTTTATTTGAAATTTGATAACTCCATAATTCATAAGATTTTCTAATGAAAATCTTTCACTATCTCTAATTAACAAATTAATGTCATTATAAACTGATTCATGCTCAGCCAGTGCAATTTTTATGATTGCATCAACATGCTCTTGTTTATCATTAAATCGTTTTTGATGCTTCTTGTTAATTCCAGTTGTTTGATCATTTAATTTTTCCTTTAATTCTGCTATTTCACATTTTTATTTTCCAATAACTGTTCCATTTCCAAAACTTTACCATTAAGATCCATAATAATTGTAGATTGTTGTTGAAATCTTTGATTTGATTGTTCCTAGTTCACCTTTTATTCATTGAAGTTCCCTCAAAATATCAGATTCGTTGTTATCATCTTGTTGAAGTCTAAATTGAAAAAATTCTCACAAAAATAGTTGGTAGCAACTATTTGATTATAATGTTTTTCACATAATGAAAAATCTTCTAGAGAATTAATTAATGGAGATAATTCAGGAAAGTACTTAGCTAATTCAATTATCCTTTTGACTGCAGTGTGATGATGCATGCTTCCAAATTCGTGAGTCAGTTTTACATGGTGCCAATTGTCTTTCTGGATATTTATCTGCTATATCCTTAAACAGACATGTTAAATTTCTTGTATTTGCCATGTTATTTGGGTAATCTGGTAATTATACAAAAAAAAAATTAAAATAATAATAGTTAATTGTCTCATAGTAAAAAAAAACCAATATGTAAACCTTTATGGATTAAAGTGGGTTATTAAACTGTGTATTTTTTTTTTATTTTTTTTAATAAAGGCAATATCCTGCTCATATAATTTTATTAGAATAAATTAAATATAATAAAAATAATTCACAAAATAAATTACAAATTAACTTTATATGAGGCTATTCCTCTTGAAAATAACTAAAAAAATATATATATATATACATATGTACACACATACATATTTAAATTTAACATTTCAGAAAAAACAGATATGCCAAACAAAGTCTATGAAGTTTATTCAGTCTCAATTTAACAACTTTAACTGCATCATAGATATTGTTGACTGATCCAGATATTACCTAGGTAACAGGAAGTCAGATCCAGTGTTAATAAAGTTATTTATTAAAACTAGATGAGAATTATTAGAATTAAGATTTGAAAGGGGTGTTTGTGCTATCTGATTAATTGGGTATAATTGATTAGCTGTTTTGTTTTTCAAGTTGATATTATTTTGTTTTAACCATGAGTTAAACAAAGTATGTCATGGAAGCCAGGCATTTTTATAATAGAAAATTATTAGATTGTAGGAGATGATGTGAAGGATGATTGAAGTTTTTTTGTGAGAACTAAATATTGGATATGTGAAGTTAATTAGAGATGATGAAGATGATGGAATTAATCCAGCTGCAAGTATTACAGGTGAAGTATGGTTGAAGTTAGATTCGAATAGAGGTTGTAATAGTTGTTTAGTTTGTGTATGTAATGTTTACTTTCTTAACGATAATAGTTTCTCAAACGGTATTTTAATGATTGTAAAAATACAAGTTAATCTTTATTGACTTAAATTCGATGTCCTTTTATAAGAATACATCAG